CAAGTGCTGAAGTTGCGGCTTTAGCACTTGCGATGGGTGCCACCAAGACGTCTTGCGCCACCCGCCCGCGCAACCACGTGATCACATCAGCAGGGAGGTGTATGGCACCGACACGGACTGGATGGTGGAATGAGGGATGACCACATTCATTGGGTTAGTAGGCAGTGTGGTAATGTTACTGACCATGAAGTCTAGACCTGTTCGAATTGACCGAGTCCTGAATACCACATCGCATGATCTTGCTCTCATACACAGCCTACATAATTATCTCAATGCTCCTTGCTTCAACCGCCAACACAGGAGTAGAATATATCGCAACAGGGTATGATGAATCTATGCAGCGATTTTCGTGATTTCACGGCATCTGATTGGACAAATTGGACAATTTTGAATTCGCAAGGTGACCTGCCTTGCGAATTCCAAAAACAGACAGACACATGGAAAATAGAAATCACCAATTCAAACTTGAAGATATACTACGTAGTAATTAATTGAAACTACACAATTTCAGAATTATTTATGGAATTCGCAAGATGGTTCACCTTGCGCAGCATACAAAATTGCCTATTTCATCTTGCTTTTTCTGGTTAATGGAAGTTTCAAACACTCGGAATATTTTAAATTGAACGGTTTGATGGAATGAAAATAGAGATTAGTGTTTATCGCGGTGCGCAGATTGGTTAGTGTGTCGGATGGCGAAGCAGGGAACCCGGGTTCGAGTCCCGGGTGTGTCAAACTTTTCCAAATTTTCTTGATGGACGATTGTATTTTATTGGATTTTTACGATTAATCCGAAGGCCATGTTTTATAAATTCGTGTATTATTGAGGAATAGCCTTAGTGAAGCTGCGACAGATTCTTCGAACCACAACTCGCGCAAATGCCGCTTGAACGGCGCTTGTTTAATTATTAATTCGGTGGAATAGCAGCCACGAGGCAACCTGCGTCTTCGGTGGCACTCTTCGCACATTCCTTGCTCACGTGGGAGTCGAAGTTGACGGTGCGCGCACTTGAGGCTTCAACACTGACGGTAAATAGTAGGCCTAGACGCGAGCATCAATCCACGTTTTTTCTTGCACGGCATAGGACGTTTCGAACTTGTTCGGCTTAATGAGACCGCCAGTGACGCCGCGCATGATGAACAGGATGGGCAACTTCTCGCCGTTGGCACGCACTGATAACTCCGCCGTCATCCGATAGGGGTGCTTTTCTCCACTCGAGATCTTCGAGCTTCAACCTCGCACAGCGTAGATAGCATTTGGCGCCATGTCGTAGTGTATACCGGGCTCATCTACGTTCATAACACAGTCAGTGCCAAAACTATCGTATGCTTTGTGGGAGTCCAACGCGAACGTCTTGCGGATCACGTTGCGTCGAGGTCTTCCTGGCACCACTTGGTATTGGCTGGCTTTTGACCCATGAAGCCGTTGCGCGCACAGAATGGTTGTAGCAGCTTGAGTAGGGTATCGTAACCGCTTCGCTTTGGTTGCAGGTACATGTACTGGTCCAGACACTCGTGATGGTTACGCTGAGAAAGTTCACCAAATGGGTGCACGTGACAGCTCGCTCTGCTTGGCGCAACTTGAGCATGAACGTCACCAATGCTGCTGAGTCGTGCAGTTCTTCTGGCCGCTCGGCGTCGTCGAGGTTGAACCGTTTCTTTTTGCCGTCGAAGCTCAGCAGTGCTGCCGCTTGCTTACAGAGAACCCCGGAAAAGTCTGACCTCCCCAAAATATCCGACCACCTATCTAAATTGATTTAATTTTATTCATCGTCGACGCACCTTTGAAATTGAATTTATCCATCACGAAGCCAATCACAAAGCAGTATTAATGCAAGTTTATGATTGGTATATTCAAATTCAAAATTTGAAGCGCTTCACTTGACATCATGCCGACGCGACAACGCAAGAAGTCATACTCCATCGACGAAAAGCGAAAGCTCCTGGCCATGTTCGAAGCCACTGCAACGAGCCATCGCAAGTTCTGTGCGGAGCATGGAATACCTCGAAGTACGTGGATCGACTGGCAAAAGCGCCGCACAGAACTTGCGACGACTCGACGCAACGCCAAGCGCCCAACGGTGGGTGGACAAGGCGCCAAGGCTATCTTCCCGTTCAAGTACTAGCTCCTTGCCTTCATGAAGGATGTTCGGCGTGAGGAATACATTCTTACGTCGATGCACATGGTAACCTTCATGAAGCGCAACCACGGGGAATGGCTGGCGTCGTACCGAACAGGCAAGCGCGACGCGTACAAGTCCCTCTTGAAGCTCTGCCAGGAGTTTGCCAAACGACACCACTTTTCCCAGCGAGTTGCGTGCTTCACGAAGATGCCCACCCCCGATATGCTGGAGATCCGCCAGGATTTTGCGTGCAAGTTTTGGACCAAGTATCATGCGTACGCTGCCAGCGAAATCATGAACGTCGACGAGACCGCCGTATACTACGACATGCCCCCTGGCTAGATCTGGGCAGAAATCGGCAAGTCGTCCAAGGTCGACAAGAAGCAGAAGCATTCCGACCGTATCACTGCGGTGTTGACATGCCGAGCTGATGGTACGTGATGTTGCATGAGTGGCTATTGACGATGTTTTGTGTAGGGTCTAAACTACCCATTTTGTTCATCGTCCATGGCGTCCCCGGTGGTACAATCGACGAAGTGGAGCTGGACACCTATCCAGAAGAGCATTACTACAGCGTCCAAGAATCGGGGTGTATAGACAGTCGCGTGTGGAAAGCGTACCTCGAGATGTTGCCGCCGCACATTGAAGGTCCCACGGTCATAGTCGCCGACAACTTCGACGTCCACGTTACGCAAGAATCCACCAATGACATCGCTGGTGACCTGCACAGTGTGCTCGAGCCGCCACTCCCTGCCAACTGCACAAGTGTGTGTCAGCCCTTGGATGTAGGGGTTATGGGGCCGTTCAAGAAGTTGTTGCGGACACTCTGGCTCGATGAAGCGCCTGTCACTTCAGCTGCAGACAAGCGACGTGCTATGATTTTTCGTTCAATCAAGGCCTGGGAAATGATTTCTAGCGACGCAATCCAGAAATCATTTCAAAAAGCAATTCCGCGTCCCCACATTGTAGTTGTGTAAATAATAGATACTGTGTTGTGATCTTAATTATGTGCTCGGTAGGAGTGTTCTCTGGATAAACCCCCGTCGTGAATCCAATAGAATTCTGTAGTAGGTGATTAAAAATAACAATGTTGAATATTTTTGTCATGTTGTATATCACTTGACAAAATATATCCCTCGGTGGTATTTGAACCCGGGGCACCTGCATTGCATACTGTGTACTTAGTGCATTTAGCAGTAGGATACATGAAAAGGGGGGGGCAAAAAGTGGATTTCGAGGTGGTGTCATCATCAGGGAGAACGATCGTCCCTATAGCGTCGCAAAGAAATGACTACATCAACTGATGCAAATACCTACCCCCGAAAGTACATATAATGGTGGGCTCATGATAATTCAAATGTTCCGTACTCCAACGACGTCCTTATGATATTATCCAAAATCTACGATACCGTATATTTCCTCATGTAACGTTACGCTCGTAATTTCTACCAATCATATCTAACAATAAAAAAATACTACGTAGTACTTCACAAGAATGAATATTATTACCTGGCGACATCCCCATACAAAATTTGCTGTAACCCCTGTCGGAAATTTCCGGGGTTCTCTGCCAACGCGAGAGGTTGCTCTTGGGGATGCCTGATTCGGCTTCCAGGCCGCGACCTGTTCCAAGCCACAGCTAGGCGATGATTTGGCATTTGGTTGCCTGGGTGTACCGTCGTCTTGGCTTCGCCTGGGGTCGGATGGTGCTGCTGTAAGTTGGTGTCATGGTTAAAAGTGAAATGACACTCAAATTCATGGCGACGACGGCCAATAACGCGCGCTTTTAAATGTTTTCCCGCGAAAGCAAACTTTAGCCACTCAGAGATCATTAATTTTTGATTGATTTGATTGGATATAATTAGGTGTGTAATATTTCAACTTTGGTGTCCCTTAAAATCCGTCGTCGTCTGTACAGACGACGACGGATGTATTGATCAGGTCTCGGAAAAATACTATGGAATACAGTGATCTGGGAAAGAACTTGTCACAGTAGTACACCACAAAACGACGAATCCCGCTGCGAGCAGAGCGATAATTTCTCGAAAAGACGACGGAGGGATTGGTCGCTCTCCAAACGACGCTGAACAAAGAGCGTGCTGGACTCGACGATGAGAAAGCTCAATCTGCGGTACGGATGTCGGAAGAACGACTCAAAATTGAGGAAGAACGCCATATGTTGACGGAACAAGTGTCAAATGACCGTATTCTGCTGGAGGAAGAGCGACGCGTGATAGTGGCTCAGTTGGATTGCAGAGAAAGTGCGTTTCCGGATAAGCCGTACGTAGCTCCCCCGTACGCCGACGATCGCATCCTCCACTACGTATGCGGCTGCGGTGGGAAGTCCTGTCGAAGGTCAGCGCCGTCTGTATTCAAGCCGTTCTTCCTCGGCCTCGACAGTTATGGATTCGGAAGTCACGATGAATTCGCGTCCTCCCCCGAAAGCTACGGTGGCGGGCAAATTGGATGCTCTTCTGGCTCCCATGCGGATGAAACCTGAGCAGTTCCCCTCGTCAGGTCAAGATGTCTTGGCATACATGGCGGGCAACACCACAACTCAAATGAATCCCTCTCACGCTACGACAATGGCGACGGGGCCGAGTTCGTCGTCCCCGTACTGGTCTGGAGGTGGCCGTAACCGACCGACTATGGCCACTGGGAATGCGGAGATGGCGATGGAAATGACCCAGGTGGGAACCAGGCTACGGTCAGAGTGGTCATGGTGGAAATGGCCATGGACCTGGGACCTGAACGGGGGTGGAAATGACCCCAACCCGTATCCTCAGTTTGGGTCTGGACTTTACAGTCGTCGACCAACTGACCGACATTCCGTGGCCGCCGCTGCTTGAAAGCAATCGTTGAAGCCCGAGAGCGTCGACAAGTTGCATTTGGATCATTTTCTTGGACACCTTGATGGTCTCCAAGTGGAGTTTGTGCTGTCGGACGTGGAACTCGTCTGTATTTTTGAGTAACGTGTCTCCGACTCGAAGATACGGACCGTACAATACTGGTGGGCTCGTCGTTACCGTGAAGGCCCCAACACAACACGAGAAGCGCGTTCTACAAGGAGTTCGTTCAAAAGAGTATGAGCGCGAAAATGGCTGAGATCACAAAGAACAGTCAGTACACGCAAGGCGAAGGAAACTGTTCGTGAATACGCTTAGTGTATCAGCGATGCAGCCCAAGATCTCGAGATGCGCTCGGCGCAGGAGGTCCAAATTTTCATCGACAGTTGCAAGGACACCACTGTGGCGTCTTGCATTCGCGGTTCTGAGACGCGACCTGTTACCATCCCCGAATGTTTGGACTACCTTCGTTTCCGGGACATGGATCTGGACATACGTTTAGATGCGGCGAATGGGACGCGTCATCGCAATCAGTGTCCCCAACAACAGATGGAAGTCGGTCGAGTTCACACGAGGTGAATACGGGTGTCAAGTCAACGCCGGCGAACGAAGCCAATGCGGCGTTACGGGCGGAAATGGCGTCGTTGATGAAAGCACAGTTTGCCACCTTGACCAATGTAGTGGCTCACATCGCCCCTCGAGCTCCTGGAGGAAATCAACTCGTGGTGCTTAAGATTTGTGCGGATCTCGACGAGGCAACGACGCAGTCAGGCCGTGTGGTGTGTGGTCGTTGTCAAAGGAGTGGGCATGGACGTGACGCCTGCCCGTACGCAAGATGAAGTGCACGGGGTCCAACACGTATGGCCTTGCCAATCTGGAATGCTCGATTCCTTTTACGCCTCGTACGCAATCGGATCGCCGATGCTTCCACTGCAACGGGTCGGGACACATGCGGGTGGATTGTCCCAAGCAACGGTCGTCGCAAGGTGGCGACAGCTCGACGAGTACGGTGCACATAACTGATGTGTGAGGGACGATGCTCAGGCTGAAGGAAGTTACCCGGACATTGTCGTACCTCCTGAAAAGACTTCTGTGAGACAAGACGAGACGGCTACGTTGGTTGATACGCGACGCGGCGAACAAAGAAAGAGGAAGAAGGCGTCGAAGCGCATACAGGTGCCGCGTGGCGGGCCCGCGGGTCGACCTGTGGCAAGTGATAATCCGGTCATCCGGCCGGACGGTGAAGAGATTGTGCGGGGTGGCGAAGTGAACGACGCCTCAGTTGAAGAAGAACAAAGAACAAACGGACGACCCGAACAGTTGGTTCGTGGCGTGGATCTGGCGGGGTTGCCAGATCGGACACGAAATACGGAGTCGGTGGAGTTGATGGTTCCCCGTGAAGACTCTCGAATGGGTCGAGAAGAGACGCGTATGGACGGCGTCGGAGGCTTGCCGGTGGGCAAAGTGACGAGAGGTGAAGAATCGAAGGTGGCATCGATTCAAGACGGTACGGACGGCGACGAACGCCGTTCTACGAAAGTGCAGACGTGTGAGGACTCGACAGTGGTGTCGGGTGTGGAGCGAAGTGAAGACCTGGTGGAATGTCCTCGGTCGATGGAGAAGTTGTGCGAGAAGACTCGACGGTAGCACGGAGTCAAGGAACGGTTACGTTTGGCTGAGGAGAAGGATGTACGTATACACAAAGGTGTGATAAGCCCGTGGAGCTGCAGGCTCAGCGTGAAGATCAGCGTTCGGAGAAGGAACACAAGCTAGGCTCACGTCAAGAACGTGATGACGCGATAGTCGGATTGGCAGAATTGCTGGTTCCGCGGACGATACTGGTGGAATTGCCAGTTCCAACGCAAGTACCTTCGGGCGGACGAAATATCGAGCGTAGGTCCACTTGTCGAGACCGTCACTGGTCGGACGGTGAAGGTGGACGTCTTATAGCAGGCTGTCGTGGCTATGGTGGGTTTGCGTCCACAGCCCACGAAACGAGTTCAGTTCTACAGCCGAGTGGAGTACGTGTTTGACGCGCTCGAGGTTACAGCGTCGATACCGTTGACGGATTTGGAGTCTACGAGATACCCTGGCGAAGTTTGGCGTCTCAACTGGCATTGTTTCTCGCCTCGACGTAAATTGACTCGGCTGGCGTTTCAACACCTAGTTCACTTCGCAGAGAAGGCGTCGTCGTGTGCGTCCGCGAAGCAGCGTCATAGGTATACGCCGGTGTGCTCGGTAACGGCCATGCGGATTCCACCTGCAGCCGATCCGACGTCCGGACGCATGAACCCCTTCCTTGACACAGAAGCCTTATTCATACCGAGTGTGGACGATGAAAAGATGCGGTGCCATCAGAACGGTTACGAGCCCATTTTACAATGATGACTTGTACGCGGTGAAGGAAGACGACGTGGTGGTTCCGAAGCGGTTGATCTGCCACGTGGGTAGTGACAACGTGGTGCCCCTTACGGTTATGTCAGTCAATGGCGCGAAGATGTCCGCACTGATCGATACCGGGGCGTCCGTAACGTTGCTCAGTGGTGCTGGTTGAATCTCAGTGCGCCGACGTTGTGGTCACAACAATCCGAACATTTTGCCGGATTTGACCACGTTGGCCCTTTCTTGCGCCTGCAGCCTCGACAACGACGGTTGGTCCAGTGTCGCTTTTCGTTTTCCATTCCGAGTGGGACTTACGTCTTGTCGGAACCCCTCCCCGGACTTTCGATACAAGTGGCTCGCTCCCTCAATGTCGTGGCATTGAACGGTATCTGGGTGCAAGTACAAAATCCAAGTGATGAGACAGTCAAACTCGTTAGTGGTACATTGGTTGGCCTGGCGGCCACCTTCCGCAAGGATATGCCGATACGGGAGGAAAACCGCCGCCTGAACCATCACCCACTACGACGGATGTTTCATGCAGGATCCGCCCCGGAGTTCGGATTCTGATAGGGAAGGCAATGACGTGTGGACGCAGCAAACGTATCCACGAGTGATTTGCCCAGCCCACATGAAGCCATCAGCATCAAACGGAAGCGTGGACGAAATCCCTGTCAACTGGGAAGGCTCAGACCTAAGCCTTGATCAACGAGAAGTCCTGCGTAAACTGCTCTTGCAGTTCGACATCTTTGTCACGACGTCGAAAGCCCCAGGGCGAACAAATTTGGTCAAGTGTCATGTGAATACGGGCAACGCAAGCCCGATCAAACAAGCTCTGTATCGAGTTTCCCAACGGGAAGGGGAACTGATGGAGGCGGATTTACAGCAGTATCTGGACTTAGGGCTGATCAGACCGTCAACGAGGCCATGGGCAGTCCTGTGCTGATGATACGGAAGCCGCACGGATCGATCCGTTTCTGCATTGCCTACCGGAAGTTGAACGATGTGACGATCAAGGACTGCTAACCGATGTCCTGCATCGATGACTTGCTGATGGTGGACCTGGCATCTGGCTACTGCAACGTATGGATGTCCGAGGAAAGCATCGCGAAAACGACGTTTACGTGCAAGTTCGGGCTGTATGAGTGGCTAGCGATGCCCTTTGGGCTCTGCAACGCTGTATCACAATTTGAAAGACTGATGGAAGAAGTCCTCAAGGAATACCGGTGGCGTACATGTCTCGTCTACCTTGACGACGTGATCGTTTTCAGCGAAACGTTTGGGACGCACTTGGTGCGGCTGAAGCAGGTCCTTACGTGCTTGAGGGACGCAGGGTTCAAGCTCAAGATTAGCAAGTGTCACTGGGGGAAGTCGTCTGTCACGTTCTTGGAACACATCGTCACCTCTGGAGGGATCCTGTCGAATCCAGAGAAGGTGAAATCCGTGTTGAAGATCAAGCCTTGAAGAACGTTGGTGAAGTTGGGGCGTTTCTGGGCATAGTGGGGTATTTCAGGCGGTTCATCAAGGGGTACGCCGCGATCTCCATACCGTTGGAACGACTGAAGTCGGCGGAACGGTTCGAATGGGACGTTGACGGCGACGCCGCATTGGACAAGTTGAAGCGAGCATTGGCAAGTCCCCCGATTTTGGCGTACCCAGACTTCAAGCTTCCGCTCGTCGTGTATGTGGACGCGTGCCCCATAGCCGTTGGAGCCGTCTTGATGCAGAAGCAGAACGGCCGGGAGAGGGTGATTGCTTACGCTAGCCAGGCGTTGAACCAAACCCAGCAACGTTGGATCAGCAAGAAGGAAGGCACTTCAGAAATCGAATGCTACGAGATTGTCTGGGCTACGAGCAAGTTCCATGCGTATTTGGATCGTCGTCACTTTACGTTGTTCACGGATCATGCAGCGTTGGCTTGGTTGTTCAAGTCTGGATCGAACTCAACCAACGCTAAGCTGGCTCGTTGAATCTCCCACTTGCAAATTTTACTGTTCACTGTGACGCATCGACCGGGGGAGAACATGGGTCGTGCCGATGGGCTATCGAGACTTCCGATATCCGTAATCTTCCAGGAACCGACGGGTGCGGACTGTACGGAGTTGGCAACAGATGATACGGAAGGTCTGGCAACTCAGTCGGAAGGTGTGGAAGGCACCCAAGTTTCCACGACCCGTATGATGGAAGCTACTCGTATCAAGCCGAACGAACCGTATCGGATGAGACAGTCCGTACGGGAAACACGACGTATGAGAGCCGATACGGACTCGTGTGAGGCGGATACGATGCGCACGGCGCTTACGGAGCGTATGGGGTTGGACGTATTAAGTCCGGAAGTTAAGGTAACGGGCCGGCGACATACGGAACAGTACTGCTGGGGCTCATTACGTACGGAAAGAGCTACGGGAACGTACGATGGTCCAAGTGAGAAAGGAGAGACGGAGCCCGAGGGGTGTGAAGAGACGCACTTACCACTCCTGGAAGGGAGCCGTACGGGTATTGTCGACCAAAGTCCGGAAGTACCCTATGTGTAGCTTCCTCAGTCGGATAGTCCCTTGGACGACTCGTACAACGTGCCTTCCGACCTTCTGTCGCAACTACGCCTCCGTGCAACTTCTCAACACAAACACAATGTTGGGGGGGCAGTGGACTCCCAGGCAAAGCTTGGTGGTGTATTGAACAGTTGGAGGCAAAACTAGAACTGAACTACTCACCGACTAAACTAACCCTATACTAACTCTAAGTCTAAATCCCCTTTTGGTTCCACCAATCATCGGAGACTAGACCTGGCCTTTCCTGACCCTAACCCTTCCGGCTCGCACAACACACCGCGCCGCCCGAAGCTGTCCACCGCAGAATGGGCCTGGCCGCCCAAATGGCTCCAGCCAGGCGCGTCGAGTGGGTCCTAGGACTACGGGTATGTCCATCTTGGCAACGCAACACTCCCCCCATGCCCGTGTCCGGTACCTAGCTCGTGTAAGACAACTCGCAACAATGATATGAAGGAGAGTACTCTACAACCGTTCTAGGGCCTCGACCAGCCCTTCGCGTTTAGCGCCGTTTGGCAATTGGTCGGCAAACGACTGCACCAAGGATGGGATCTCCTGGTGCATCGCCGGGAGCTGTTCCCAGCTTGCTTCGAGGCTCTCTAGGCCTTTCCATCGGATCAATAATTCCCACTGGTTAGAACCAGGGTTGCGCCTTGCGTCCTCGATTTGGTCAACAACCAGCGTGGTCCCTTGCTCACTGACGTGGTCGATAATTTCTTCAGTCACCTGAAAGTGGCTTTCCACGTAGAACTTATGTCGTGAGTGATGTGCTTCGCGCTGCACCCCCGTAATCAAGTGTTCTATGACACATGAGTAGGGTAGGCACTTGAGGACACGGAAGGGGCCAATCCACGTGACCAATAGCTTGGGGTAGTGTGTGTTCTCGTCCACGCGTGACCAAAGCACAAAGTCTCCTTCTGTGACCTTCATTTCGTTTTGGTTTGTCTTCTCAAGCATTCGCTTGTTTTCGGCGGCGCGCCGTTTGTCGACGATTGTTGAGTGGACTTCTTGTAGTGATTTTCGTAGTTCTTCCACGGCTTGCCGTAGTTTCTTCTGTTTCCAGTCGATTGTGTGGAAACCGGTCTTCGATAATCGCACGTTGACTTTGCCAACGATGGTGTTGAGCGCTGTGGTCGGCTCCAAGCCTGTGAAGGATTCCATGGGGTTTGTGTGGTCCAGCGTCGCCACCGGCGTTTGGTTGATGTTGGCTTGTACAACCGGTAACAGATAATCCCGTTTCCTTGAGTTTTGTTTCTCTCAACATGATTCGCATAAGGCCTAAAATGTCGCGGTTGACTCGTTCGACCGTCCCGTTGCGCTATGGGCAGTATGCAAGCACTATGTTGTGCTGTGCTTGTAGGCGCATCGCAAGTTCCTTCATGACGGAGTTCTTGAAATGGCTTCCGCCGTCTGAGATCCAAACTTCTGGGACTCCAAACGTATAGCGTCGAGGTCCGGTCATACGAAGTCGGCGTCGTCCAGAGGCCGTAACATCGGTGGCGGCGGCTTGTAGACATGCTTGGATTGTTTTTCTTCTTTGTCCATTTGCCCAACGCGCGCACGTACTTTCGATGTTCCGTTCTTCGGAACGAGTGGTGTCGCCATTTCGGCGGGCTTTCCCACCAAATTCGTCATACTTTCGCCTCTGTGGGCTGCGGTATGCCCCATCGGCTCATGAGGTCGGCCCATACGTTGTGCACTCCGTCGATGTGCTGAATGACGTATCGGTACTGACCGATCAGCTTCTCGCGCGTGTGTGCCTTAAGCTCGTCTTGGGGCGCGAAGACGCGTATGAGGTTCTTGTGGTCACAGTACATGAGGAACCCTTTGGGTTGTAGCAGCAGGTACTTAAGGGTGTCGCAGGCACGCGCAATAGGGTAGCCTTCTTTTTCGATGACTGACCAGTTGACTTGCGTTTTGTCAAACATGCCGCTTTGACAGACGAGGAGTTGATGTTGTTGGTCGTGGATCGGGATGTCATCGCCGTAATCGTGGACTTGGGCACGATGCACCAGCGGTAGGCGGACGCGTCGGTGAATAGGCACATCGCAGCGTCTTCATGTGGGTGACACAATTGAGCGGCGTTCCGCATCAGTTCTTTGACTGCGTCGAAACTGTTTCGTTCTTCTTTGGTCAAGTCGATTGTGATTGATGTCGCGATTCTTTTTTTGCTTTTCTTTCCAACCAACGCTTCTGTGAGTCGTTTTTGGAGTGGGTCCATTGTTTGGGCAAAGCCAATCAGGCTCTCGCGCATCCAGTTCACTGCGCATATGAATTGCTGCAGCTGACCTGCATCGGTCGGGTACGGGATGTCGCATAGCGCTTGGATTCTCGTGGGATCTTGTCGCACCCCGTCGCCGTCGATGATTCTGCCGCACCATTTGATTTCGCTGCATAGTAGTTGCTCTTGTGTAGGTTCAGACGCAGTCGAAACTTCGTACATACATCGAACACCAGCACGCACTCGTCGATGTTGTTCGCCCACACCAGGATGTCGTCGATCCAAATTAGGACGTTTTTGTACAGTAGGTCCTTGAAACATTCCGCCATGGTGTTCTGGAAAAATAGCGCCGAGTCGCAATGGCCTTGCATAACCCTCGTTGGGGTCAACGGTAGCCAAGCATAAAGGATAGCAGTTCTTGTGAGTTTTTCTCGAGTGGTAGCTACCAGAAACCTTTCGTAACGTCGAACACGCCGAGGTACTTGGCGCAGCGGACGTTTTCTAACACGAGGAACTGGAACGGCATGGCGCCAGCGAGTGGGATCGTTTGGCTATTGATGATTCTGTAGTCGATCGTAAGACGAAAGTACTGCAACAGTTCTTCGATTGTCCACTTATCGCTTGTCTTGACGAGTTTCTTTCCTTCCGGTTTCATAACCGGGTTGACGGGGCTGCAATGGGAGCTTGAGTTGTTTGCATAAATAACTTGGTCTTGCTCCATCTGTTTGCCAAACGCTTCGACGAACATGCCCGTCAAGGGGTTCACCTTTCTAGGTTTGCAACGATTGGGACGTGCATCCGCCTTGAGTGTATTTCCATCGCCTTCACATCCGCCGGGAGGTCTGTGCCTCTGAACTTGGTTCGCCATACTCCTTTGGCGGCGGCGTCGACGACGATTCCTCGTAATTGCTTGAGCGCCACAGTCTGTTCTTGGTCGACGGCGTTCGCAGCTGTGATCGCCATCTTATACAGCTGTTCTGCTGCTCGCATGTCTTCCACGTCCAGCTGTTCATCGCTTGCATGTAACCCCCGCACACTGACACCGAATGTGTCGCGGGGAATATTCGGACGTTCCGCGACCAGCCGTGGTGTTTTGGCT